ATATAAATTGATTCAAAACTAAAACTAAATATCAATCAATTATTATAATATTTTACTTTTATGAATATTCAATCCGTGCATGAGCACGGGAAAATCACCTAGTGATTTCAATATATAGCTAATTCAGTTTAACTTATATGGCAACTTCATTGATTAATTTATTATTTTAGAAGTAGGAAATAGTGTTAAAATAATGGATACTCATATATATAAGAAGCTAAAATTAGTAAGTTGATTGATCTGCGTATATATACTGATATTTATCTCATGATACTCATTAGTTAAACTTTTAATTGCTATTTTAAGCAGAAGAAAAAATTAAACACGCTTTCTATATTTTTTTTTTTTTGGCATCGCTTTTTCTATATTCTTCGTTTTAAAGAAAAATCTACTTTTCGTGACTCATGAACTAGGGCTCAGTGACATATACAAATCCACTAGGCCTTTATCAAGTCCCCTCCTGCTTTTGAACAACGATGAAAGTAAATTCGTTCAGTCTATGTATCATAGAATTTTTATGTCAATATTAGTTTCATAATTCATGCGATCGAACTAACTGAGTTTCATCTGCAAGTACGAAGAGTTCCAAATTTTGGTTTTAAAAAAAGAGTTAATTTCTATAAGATTATTTTATTGTCTTCAACATGATTTTTGTTCTTAAGAACTCGCACCAATTAGTTGCTAATAACAGCTGATTAAAGTTAACCTCTTTCAATATTCTACTCCGCGGCTGATTCATTTCTTCATATATAAAACTCTTTCTGTATTCTACTCAGCGGCTGATTCATTTCTTACTAAAAAGTTATTTTTAGTGACTCATGATTCATGAAGTAGTGTTGAAAAATTCGTCAAATTCTCTTGTTTTGTAGTTAAGAGGCTAATGAGCATTCTCATCCCCAATGGAAATCACTTTTACTAGCTCACAAAAAGCATATGATGCACATCCTCATCCCATTGCACATGTTATATTGGTCAAAAATGAAACACTCATCTTGAGTTGAAAATAAATAACCAAACAACATAAACCCTGAAAATTCAAAGAAAATATACCAAAACGTTTTGGTTTGTAATTAGCAACCGCGTAATTTTTCGAAGGGACCATCGGATTTTCTTTTGAATAATAATAAAAATGTTATTTTGAGAGCACTAACCAATACTTATTAGATGAGATTTACGAGTCAAGCAAAATATTTCAAATTATATATATATAATTTTGGCGCCAATGAGATTTTGGTGAAGTGAAATATTTTTTTTGTTACTGCCAAAATTATATATTCTTCCATGTTGAAATTGATCCTGGATTCGAATCTAGTCAATTATTTATGACGCTAATTACTTGGTAGTGGTTACTCAAAATTATTTTAAATGTGTCACATCGATCAGTTTATAAAGCGAATTCGTTACCGCGTAAATTACTTGGGCTGGTTATATTTAATTTGATACTGTTAGGCAGATGAGATCAATTTAACCTGTAAAGTTACTATATTTTCCAATATGGCAAATGAACTGAGGTCAGTAATTTGCGAGGATGAACCCTTTATTTATATAGAAAGATTCTATGGTGAAAAAGTTATATGAATGGGATTAGGTAAAAAGAAAAAAAAAAAACTAGTTGAAGCAACTCGCATTGAACTTTCTCTATATAAACACAATTCATCGAGAGAGAACTATAATCAAACCCACAAAACATATAGTACTTATCTTTATTTATTAAAGAGAGAGTGAGAATGGCAACACGACATAATTGTTGGTCTGGGGTGTTTGAAATTAAGTCTCCGGCTGACCGATTCATAAAACATATTATTAGAGTGCACAATAATGTCTCAGGCATGTTTCCTTGTATATATTTCATCTCTTTCAAATTTCATTCATGAAACCCTTAATTAATTGTTTTGTTTCACAGTGGGGGAGTTGCGGTTCATAGTCAATGAGATTAGTGGGGAGAAAAGAGTAGTGATAGTGCACATAACTGGGAATGTAATCTTAGTGCACCACCATTCCTATGAGAGTCTTGGCACCTAGCTTCATGGCGTGTTCCGTGCTGTTCGAGAAGGATGTCCTTAACATCCAAGAGGCAGAGCAGATCATAGGCACTCTAAAAAATCTCATCGAGGAGATTGACCGGAACCTTTATCAACAGGATAATACGATGAACTCCATGTACGTCGAGTCTACTGCGGCCGAGTGCTTCAAAGCTATCAACAAAGCATTTAAAGATGATGGTAACGCTTTTACATTTATTTATCATTTAGTTCATAAATTAAAAACCTAATTCTTGTTGTTCAAAAGCTGACGTGGAGATCGAGGCTGAGGATTGGGACAATATGACAACTACGCTGAGTTTGAGGTGCACTCATGTCTACATATGCATATAGAACCTTCTAAATAAAATGGCCCTATATCTATTTATCTATCTATGTTCATTGTAGTATAATATGCATGAGTCTCTTATAATAGTTTGGTATTTGGGACTGTTTGACCTCGTAATGCTATATGAAGAATATATCAATTTGCATATTATTGTTGGACCGATGATTAAATATTTTTTTTAAGCAACTTTAATCCGCATTTTTGTACTTGAGATATATGACACTCACTCATGAAACAAGGATGTGAAAAAAACATGTCGAAAGAATATTCTTAAACAATGATTTATCATTGAGCAAAATGTTAAAAAATTATAGGACCGGAGTAGCTTTAACACATAAGAAACAAAAAAAAAACAAATTGAAATGAGAGTCAAACGATGCCAAAAAAGGATGAGAGAGTCAAATGCAGAATTGTGATAGAAGCAAATCTATACCTACCATTTTACCGAAGAGACATTGATACTTTTTTGACTAAAAGAGACGTTGATATTGGTAAAAGCTATTATCCATAGTTTAAGCTTTTCACATGTATTTTGAAAGTTAAATAACAGATACTTAGCAATGGGACTTAATTCAATTTCTGATTTGTAATGTTTGGAATTGTGTTAAGACATTATCGTTTTTAATTTCCGGTTGGTAAATTGAGTGTCGTGAGCAGTTAATGACATTTTAGTCACAATCACTTTCTGTTGGTAATCAAATTTAATGTGTTTACATAATAATCAGTTTACGTACGTTAAGGTTCCGATTAGTTGCTACATTAAGGAAATCTATCAATTAAGTGTGAAAATTTTATAAAATACTCTCAACGTAAGAACCCGGTCATCTTAAAGAAACCCAAAGTTTTGGTGGACCATGATCGGTTCAGTAAAGTTCATGTACAGAAAAAGGGTTTATGTATAAATCCATAATCCAGTTATAGTAAAAAAAAATTCGGATTCATCTTGAAAAAGATTGAATAACTAATGAACAACCTACATTTTCTCCAAAAAAAACCGACCAAAAACCTATGTGGAAATTCTCAAACCAAATATGGGTCCAATAATATCTAAAATTCTCTTTTTTTTTTGAATGTCTAGAATCTTCCCCAAAGAAAAAAACTAAAACTAGTTAGCTCACAAAATTTTCTGATGTGTTTTAAATTTATCGTCTTTTAATGGTAATTAAATCTTATATTATTCTGCTAGTTACAGTTTTACTTACTTTCTATTATTTTTATATATAGTGATAAAAATGTATTTTAAATATTATTTCAATACCTGTTTCAAAAAAAATAGAAAAAATATATTATTTCAATACCTATTTCTATTTGGTTTAATTTATATGGTAACTTCATTGTATTTGTTTTGTTATTTGAAAAGTAAGAAATTGTGTTAAAATAATGGATACTCATATATATAAGTAGCTATAACTAGCTAATTTTAGCTATAGTAAGTATATGAATATTTGCTAATATTTATTTCGTGATACTCATTAGTTAAAAAATTTCTCCGTTCATTGAATTCGTAACAACTATTAAGTATGGTTAGTCTTCAATAAAAAAAATATTATTTCTCAAAAAAAAAAACTATTAAGTATGGTTCCAATTTACAATTAATTGATGTGTTAAGCAAAAGAAAAAAAATTTAACACTCTTTCTATATTCTTCAATTTTAAGAAAAAAATTATTTTTCGTGACTCATAAAGTTGTGATATGAATCCGTCAATTTTGCGTGTTTTGTTGTTATTGTCAAATTAATGAGCACAAATTTTCATCTCCGGTGGAACATCACTTTCACTGACGAAGCATATGAACGGTATAATCCATGATCCATCCCATTACACATGTTATTTTTGTCAAAAAGTAACAGACTTATCTTGATTACAAATCAAACAAAAACAAACTAAAACCCTACTTTTTTTAAAGGAAAAATGTCTGTTACCACAAAATTTGTATTTTTTAGTAACAAGTGCCTACTTCATAATATTTAATAATTATATTTTGTGAAAATTATATTATATAATTATAAGAATCCAGATGTATAAATTTATATGATATTTTATATATTGAAATCAAATAATTCCAAATTGTTCCAAATTGTTTTAAGTGTTATATCCTAGTCTATTTAGCAGCTATTATCAACTATATATACACCATAAATAAAATATATATTTTGTAATTAAACATTACTAAAATGTTATGATAAAACTATAGATCCCTGGTTAGAAATGAGTCAATTAACTATGACGCTAATATGACTTGGAGTTAGTTATATAGTAAAAAAAAAATATTTGAATTTTTGTCACAAAAAAATGTAGTAAAAGAGAATCAATTACAGCGTAAATTATTAATTCGCTTGGTTAGAATTATTTTGGTCGGTATAGTTACTTTATTTGCCATGTGCCAAATGAATATTAACTGAGTGTTAGTAAATTGTAAATGCTGAAACCTTTGTTTATAAATAGAAAGATTTGATATGGTGAAAAAGTTTATATGAGTGGGCTTGGGTTAAAAAATTTAGACGAAGCAATGTGCATTGAATGATCTCCCTCTATATAAACAAATATTCATCGAGAGAGAGGATTATTATCAAACCCACAAAACATATACTTACTATATTTTTCTTTAAAAAAAAAAGTGAGAGAGATATAATGGCAACATACAAATCTCCCAGGAAGCTTGACCTACAATCTCCGGCAGTCGAGTTCATTGAACATTTAACCAGAAAGAAAAATCATGTCTCGTTATTTTTTGCTGCTGGTAAGATGATCAACTCTTCCAATTTTCATCTCATGTATCTTGATCATCAATCAAAACCTTTAATTAATTGCTATGTTTCACTGTAGTGGACTTGAGGTTCGAAGTCGAGCTGAAGGACTCGCAAACAATGACCGTGAACATACTTGGGAACCTAATCTCGGGAAGCTACAAAACTGTCACAGCAACATTCACCGTGGGGGAAGACACGACAGCTAGCTGCCTGACGTACACCTTTGAGTTCGAGAAGATTAAATATAACGTCAATGATGCAAAGATCGTTGAATCTCTAGTCACGTACATTTATCTAAGCGATGTCACCTATAAAACGAAAGTTAAGCACAACTCCATTGACGCTGCTGGGTATCCGCCCGAAGAATGCTTTAAAGATTTCGTCAACGCATTTGAAGTTGATGGTAAACTTTCCTACTTTGATTTATATCATTTAATTCATATTTACAAATTCAAACCCTAACTATTTTTTATGTTCACCAATAAGATGAGGTGAAGATGGGTGGTGTGGATTGGCAGAAAAAGACGTTTACGATCAGCGTTCCTTCCATGATGGAAAATTTCGAGACGATCAAAGTAACCATCACTGTTATTCCTAAGAACCAAGGTAGCCGCGTGAAATGGACCATCGAGGTCGAGAAGATTGAGGACTACACCGAAGAACCAGACTATTTCCTCTTCGTAGTCTGTTCTATCCGTGAGACTATCCAGAGCAAGTTTCGTAAATAAATTAATGTTATAAATCGAAAGGTTCATCTATATATAGGACCGTCTAAATAAAATGACAGGATATCTATTTATATGTCTATGTTATTGCAGTATGTGCATGAATTTCTTACAACAGTTGGTATTGGGAATATATGGAATGGTGTTCAGTGCATTGGATAGAAATTAGGATTGGCAATATTCAACATACAGAATGAAAAAGTTAGATGGGTAAGGATTACGTAAATTAGTTAATGTAATTGTCTATAACTTTCTATTTATACAAACCACAAATTAATTGAGAATGGTGGGTGGGTGATAGGTAAACTTAATTAATGTAGTTGTTATAAAAACAACAAAAATGGAAATTTCTGATGAAGACTCTTGTGATTTAACAAAATAAATCAATAAAAGAAGAAAGAGTAGAAAAATTATGAGAACCGTTTCTCTTTCAGTAACTATCTCAATTTGTTGAAATATTCCAATACCCAAGTTATTTCTATTAGTTAATTTTTCTTCCTTTTTTATAATATCATAGTTAATTTTTTCTTTATTTTACATTTTCAGTTACAAAAAAAAAAAAAAACAATCAATATTACATTTGTGAAATATCTTTGAGTGGGTATCTAGTAATTACCGATGCTATTGCATTTATAAAACCACATAACATAAACTTAACTAAAAATATTAGCTAGAGAATGTCACAAGATTAATTAAACTACCGTTGAGTTGACGTTACGTGTCAAGTAAAGAATTGTATGGAAACATAAAAATGTGATCGCAGCGCTTTTTATCGTTAAATTCATATTTCTCAATCAAATTAAAACTCCTAAGGATTTGCCTTGATCAACCAATAAAATATAACAATTATAAAATTATATATTGTAAATTCAAATATCAGAATAAGAAAAAAAAAATGTGGATCCTGCATTTCAACACGGGTAAAATTTGTTCAATCAGTTGTCATGTTAATGAGACTTGGCATGGTTTGACAAAACTCTAATAATTTCTTCATATTGATATCAGTTTACATAGTTAAAATGTAGTAAAACAAAATCAATTACAGCGAAATTAAATCTCTTCGCTTGGTTTGAGTTAACTGGTACTTTTAGGCAGGTGATATCAATTTGGCCAGTACAGCTAATTTCTTTTTCCCATCTGCCAAATAAATTACCCAAGTGTAAGTAAATAGTAAATACTTTGAAGTCTTTGTTTATAGATAGAAAGATTCGATATGGTCAATAAAAGTAAGCCGAGTGGGGTTAGGTAAAACTAGTTGAAGCAATTTGCACTGCAATCTCTCTCTATATATATAAACACACATTCATCGAAAGAGGATTATAATCAAACCCACAAAACATATACTTACAAAAAAGAGAGAATGGCAGTGTTGGAATCTTCAGCACATGTTCAGTCAATGCTACATGGTTCTTATTATGGGGTGCTTATCATAGAATCCGGCAGACTAGTTCATAAAATATTCTACAAGGAAGTGCTACGATCATGATTCATTCTCATTTTATGCTGGTAAATGACCCCTAACTATCTTCCAACTTTAATTTTTGCTTCGATCTTCTTGAGGTTCCAAATCGAGTCGGAGAATTTGGAGAAAAGAGCAGTGAAAATGATCAAATTTTGGGAACACATCTCGGAATTCTTCAAGAAGATGGAAGCAACATTCACCGTCACTCCTACGGAAGACATGAGAACTAGCCGCCTGAGGTGGACCGTCGAGTTCGAGAAGATTAGCTATGACATAGTAGATCCAACGTGCACTCTACTCGAATACATCAGGTCCACTGATGTCTATAATCTTTATGAACTAAATCATAAGGTCAACTCCATAGACACTGAGTATACGGCAGACGAATGCTTCAAAGCTTTCATTGGAGCACATAAGATGAGGGTAAACGTTTCTACTTTAATTTGGTATTTAATTCATATTTTTAGAATAGCACCCTATTTATATATATATATATATGTTCACAAAAAGCTGAGGTGGAGATCGAGGCTGAGGATTGGGAGAATAGGACAACTACGATATGTGTGAGGAGCTCTCATTTGTTGATGACGAGGTACAACAAGAAGTTCAAAGTAATTACCACTATTACTCGTAAGGAAGACTATAACAAGACTATATTCGCTTTCGAGATCAAGCTTTGGAAAAAACCATTCGATAGGTTCATCTATGCATGAATTTCTTATAATGGTTGGTATTTGGGGATGTGGACCTCGTTATACTATATGAATAATATATTGATTTGCATATTATTGTTGGACCGATGATTATAATATATCAAAATGTCTATTTTTTTTTTTATAAAATGCAAAGCAAGAAATCATTTATAATCGCATTTCGTGATTAGATGCATGCCACTCACGTATTAATTAAAGTTTTTGTGATGCATGGAATTGTGTTAAATACATTGGTAAATTGAATGACGTGAGCAGTTAATGACATTTTCCGTAGTCACAATCACGTTAATATCCTCAACTTCGCATGTGTTTACATAATCGTTTTAAGTAACAAAATGCAGCCAGTTACTACATTAAAAAGTCTGAAAACTTTGTACATTTTTTTGAATTAAACTTTGTACATTCTTTTCAACGTAAGAACCCGCAACTACAACACTAGTCACAAGATAGTTGCAAATATGAATTCTGTAACTCATTTGCAACTACAAGATATGGTTAGAAAAACCTCGTCGCAAAATAATCCATCTTTGAGTAAGACAAACTTTTTATGAGTCAGAGTGGAGCAGTTACATGTATAAATCCGTTTATAGTAAAAGTTATTGTATAAATTCAGTTATAGTAAAGAGATTCATGAACACAAACTTTCATCTCTGTTGGAGAATAATCGCTTCAATAATTTATATCCCTTTTGCAATATTAGTCATTTTTCTCTTCTAAATTTCCATTATAATAACCTCTAATTTAGACAAAAGAATCCAGAAAAGAAAATCAAATGCTGGCACGCATGAGCATTCACTAGTCAAACCATTTAAAGTTCATATCTATTTTTCTTTGGGATAAACTTTAGCTAAGTACATGTTCACCGGCAATATTTTCTAATGATGTAATTAAGGCAATCAATTAAGTAAAACAACTGCGTGCTTGGAGTTAACTGATACGCTAGGCACATTAAATCAATTTGGCCTGCATAATTATTACTCCCATGTACCACACCACAGTGGTTATCTGAATGGGTAAAAACAAAAATGCTTAGCTTTTGGTTAAATTGTGAAAGATTCCACGTCTAAGTTTTGTTCAAAGATTAGATGGGTAGGGCTAGGTAAAGTTAATTAACGTAATAAACATCTAAAATTGGTTGTTACAAAGGAGAAGTTGATTCATAAACAAGGAAACGAAGACGTTTGCATTGCATTGTTAACTTTTGTTTGTCTTATGTGAAAAGTAGAGCGAGTGAAAAAAAAAGTGACAGCTCATTGACGTCAGTCTCTTGCATTGACAGCGAGCTCTCTACCGTACTAGTCTCCCGTTCTTACCACCGTAACAATTACAAAGAAGGAAAGCAACTCTTTTTACTTTAACAGTGGTTAAAAAGGGAGAGGTAAACAGTAACATTAAGTAAAAGCGATGACCAGTCAAAAAGCCTCCTCCTATTTCCTCCTCTCTTATATTTGTATACAAAACAACAAAATCATAAAAATCCCATATCACGCAACCGAGAAAGAGAGAGAGAATACAGAGAAAGAAGAAGAGAAGAAGAGATGGCTTCACTCATCGACATGTCAAGGATCCCTTTCATCCCTGGTCTGTCTCTCTTTCTTTCTTTCTCCTTTTAACATGAAACTTTGTCCCTTTATTGCATTTTAGTGTTGATACTCTCTTATTTGGTGTCTCTGTTTAACATTGAGACTTTGTCCCAAAGATTTACTCTTTTTCAACCCTCCATGAACGTAAAGTTTCAGCCTTTACTGCATCTAAGTGTTGGTACTCTCTTATTTGGTGGCTCTGTTTAACATTGAAACTTTTTTCGCAAAGATTTACTCTGTTTCGACCATAAAGTTTCAGTCTTTATTGCATTCTCTTATTTGGTGGCTCTGTTTTAAGTGTTTAAGATGAAACTTTGTCCCAAAGATTTAAACTTTTTCAAACATCAAAAAAGAATAAAGTTTCCTTTTTTTTTTAATTGACTCTGTGTCTTGTTGTGTAATGAAACTGCAGGGAGGTTGCACGCGACGAACCACCCGTACCAGAGATACGGTCCAAAGGGTTTCATGGAAATCAAGGTCCTTCCCAGAAGCGCCGACCTCTACGTCCGCGTCGACTTGCCGGGAGTTCCAGACAACGCTATCCGCTACAGAGTCGACGCCGTGAGACAAAAGCTCGTCTTTTTCTCCGGTGAAGAATCTCTCCGCGTCGGCGTCAAGGCTGAGGACGTTCGTGAGTACTCTGGATCCGCCGGTCTCGGCTGTGACTGCTGCCAGATCACCGGAGTCGATGCCAAGATGAAAGATGGAGTCTTGAGGATGATTGTGTCAAGGGTCAACAAAGACCGTCAAGACAACAAGTGTACCCACTTTGTCCCTCCTAACGCAGGTTCGAAGTGTACTTTTGTTTTTGCGTTTTGTAAATTTTTTTTTTAAAAGAATAAAACGATGTCGTTTTGTTGTGTTGTGTGTTGTAACGCAGGAAAATCTGGAAGATACGATTACCGACTTTCATCTGATGAGAGATACAAGTACGATGTGAACTCGTTTAACATGGATGGAGTGGTGGAGGAACATCCGTTTGTGGTGAAAGGGCATAAGGATGTGCTCGCTCTCCAGCAAACGTCTGATGGATGTGTCCACTTCTCAGTGGATATGCCAGGTGTTTGCGGTGATGACATGTTCCTGCTTCCTAACGAGAATGAGATCAAGTTCTACGGTGAGAACAAGGAGGTTTATGAGCACGACGAGAGTTGCCGCATTTTCATTGGAGCCGTCGACAAACGCGCTTGTTGTGCCTATGGGATTCCACTTCTCGAGCACAACATCGCTTGGGATGCAGAGTTTGGTGTTCTCAAAGTCCGTGTTACACCACCTCCTCGTCGCAACAACAACAACTGAGTAATCATATCACTCTTTGGTGATATCTATCTATCCACTACGTACGTTTTTCATTTTAATGTTTTCTGAGACTTTAATTATGATGGAACTACTAAGTGTTGTGTTTTTTTAGTTGAGACTATTGTTATGTGCTTTTGTGTTTGTGATGGAATCCAGTGACCAGTCATTTGCATTGTTTTCCTTCTTTTTTTTTCACTTAAGCTGACCCAAACCGATTGAACTTGAATTCGTTAAAGATAAGAAGATGAAAACATTAAAAATCTGACAAGGAAAAGTTATAGGATAGGAACATAATGAGAAGTGACTCATGAAGCATTTTCTCTTTGAAACACATGAGCAGTTGAATCCTCGTTTGTGGATCCTCGAATTTTGTTAAAACTTCGCAGTGTTCTATGGTGGTTGAACACCATTCCTCCCTAAAGGAAGTGCAAGTCCAAGACCTGAAAAAATGTTCCAAGCAGACTTAGGAATGAGAAAAGCTTACATGTTATGTAAATATGGTATCAAACGCAGCAGCCAAGGAAAGCATGTGACTTGAATAGAGTTTTTCATATTCAAAACTGCTCAACAATGTTGGAAAAGTAGCAACGGATTAATATATCATTTGATAGATCCATCGTAAAAGCAGAACAGAGAAGTTCGAATATGCAACGGCAAAGCTTATCATTGGGAAAACACGCCAGCTTTAGACGGCCACCCCTCACAAACGTTCAAAGATGCTATACTATTATACAACTAAATGGATCCATCCCATAACACACACACAAAATTATGAAAAGCTGAATCATAAATGTTTCCAGTTTTCATATGCCAAGAGGGACTCTAGTTCAGAATCCCAAAGTAGTGATATGATCACATCATCTTGCGCATTCTAATACAAATATATGTTATACTTTGTCATCAAAATATTGTATTTTCAAAACATTTTAAAATAATTTTTTAGTCATCATATTTTCTTTTGTCATCCTGAATCATATTTCTGTATTGTACAATATTGTAGTGAGTTTCTGGTAGGATAATTTTTTTTTTGCTTAAACTAGCTTTTACGTTGTATCTCAATTGCAATTCCATAATAATTTGATTTTACTTGCTATTATAAGAAGATAGAGAAACATTGAAAATGTAAAATGATTACATTTTGTTAGAAAGAGTAGTAGACATGTATAATCACGTTTTTATGCTATACACAATTCGTTACTGGGGACTGACTGCGCGGACCTAGTAGACATGTCTACTAATCCGGAGGAATGGCCAACCTTCACAACAGAGATCGAGAGGCTTAAGAGACTACATGAGGACTTTGAAGATATGAGGCTTTCTCATATTCCTCGAAGTAGGAATGGTCGAGCGGATAGTTTAGCTAAAGAGGCGAGAAGAAAAGGATCTATTTTTTCCCATATAGATCAGACCAGGACAGACGGAGATGCTCCTAGGGGGATCGACTCGTCTGCTCACCACTTGATCTACCTTTAGATGGGCGGCTGACAAAAAAAAAAAAAAAAAAAAAAAAAACTGAAGGATCAGCCCTGATATCTTGAGTAACTCCATGACGCTCAAATTAACAACCAGCATTAGTCCTAAGGAATACGGTGACGCTAGCCACGTGAATGGACCGCGGAGTTTGGGAAATTACCGATGGCAACCAAGACCCACATTTATCATCAACACCGCTGTTTCCTGTTTATCTCTTCAAGAAGATCGAAGATAAACTTCTTAAGTAAACATGTTCTAATTAATCTGTAAGGTTCATCTATATGCATTTTAAAATTTCTACATTAATTAAAGTGGCGTACAAACGTTTGACATCCGGGGATGTGTTTTACATAATCATTTTTAGTAATAAAATGCAATCAGTTACGTATGGTATGGTTCCAATTCGTTGCTACATTAAGGAGATGTAATCAATTAACTTTGCAGACTGTACATATATAGTTCTCAACGTGAGGGACCAAAACTAGTCCATCTTAGAGAAAACCAAAAATTTTAGTGTCATGAAGTGGGGCAGTTAAATGTTGTCATCAATTGTTCATGTATAAATCCACTTATAGAAAGAGTTTGACGAAACATCTCTGTTGGAGAATGGAGAATAATCATTTTTAACGACTCGAAAGTCACCAACCATATTATATATGAGACCCTATTATATATATACGGTACCTACATCCCTTTCGCAATGTATCGTCTATACACCTTATTTCCACCAAAACTAATGGACTCGTCTTGAAAAAAAGAAGATGAATAGCAAACCGAAAACAAGTGACATATTCTACAATTATGTCTAACAAGAAAATTTTTTCCTAGAACTCGGGCCTAAAAATAACGAAATATGAGTATCAAACAGAAAATAGGCCCAACAATATTAAGAGAAGTACATGTAAATACCCAAAAAAAATACCCTTTTTTTTTTAACAACATACCCCAAAAAACCATTTTTACAATACTGTACTTAAAGTTTTGTTTGGTTTAGTAAATTAACACAAATATGTTCGATATTACAAAGTTCCCCTTTAAATTTTTTGTTGAATCAAGACGAATGTGCTCTGAACTTTCCATGCGATCCAGATCGGTACTGTGAGGACTAGGAGAGAATTCGCCGGCCAACCGTTGTGGAAAGTCACAATGACCAATGCGTGCAACTGTCTTCAGAAGCACGTGACTCTGTCTTGTAGTGGGTTTAATTCCTGTGAAACATGTCAAGCCATGGTGCTACACCCAGAAAGAAACACGTGTCTTCTGAAAAAAGAAAGGCTTTTTCAACAGAAGCCACCGCTCACTTCATCTACGCCGGTCAGTCTTACATCTTCAGGCCCAACGGTTCCACAGTCCACACACAAGTTGCTACCAATTTATTTCCTTAAAAAACTTTTAACCAAAAATATTAAATAAATGTTTATGAAAAATGTGTATGTGAAGGTTATTAGTTTTCTTGCGTGTCAAGCAAAACTGTGTTTTCTTATTAATAAACCGATGTACTATGATTTTGTGAAACTTACATGACTAGAGTTTTTTTTAACACAAACTAGAGTCTTTATTAATTACTAGTTATTTCATGATATTCTTTTTTTTGCCATAACTATTTTAACTTCATCCCATATACATATATAGTAATCTTTTACAGCAAATGGTAATCAGTTACGACTTAAATTAAAATACATTTGTGTAGAGTTATATTTTAGAAACCTGCTATCATTTTGGTCTTTAATTAGAATTCATTTATTGTCCCATGCGCCACGTGAATTAACTGGGTCTGAATGTGAATGTGGGAGAAGTAAAATTGTAAATGCTGGAGCATTTGGCTATATATAGAAAGATTCGAGATTGTCCAATAAACTGATGCATGCATATTTTTGTGAAACGTGAGTTACAGGCAGAAAAATATGACTACACCGTCTACTACTTACTCACACTTTCATGATATACACATCGGTTTATACATACATATTCTATATGATGACAAAAGGGAGATGTGTGGGGTTAAGTAAAAAACGTTAACGTAATTTTCATCTTTATATATAAACAGCATCTTCGAAAGATGTATAGTTTTACCTCATAAAAATATACTTGTAAAAGTATCGATAGAGAGAGAGAGAGAGAATGGAAGCACTACATGGAGTTTCTTCCGGGAAGTTTGACATCAAGTCACCGGCGGACAAGTTCTTTACATCTTTCACCGACGACGTAGATAGCACTTTTGACATAATATGTAATTCTTTTTAACTCTTCCACATTTTCATTCATAATTCTTGATCATCGATCAAAATCTTGAACTACATTTTGTTTCTTTTACTGTAGCGAAAGAGAAGATAACCGAGTCTGTGGGCTGGGAGAAAAGAACTGTGACGTTGGATATGTGTGGAAATCTAGTTTCGGATAGCTACAATACGTTCAAAGCAACCATCACGGTCATTCCCAAGGAAGATGAGACCGATGGTAGCCGTGTGGTATGGACCGTCGAGTACGAGAAGATCCGTCATGATACTGGAGATCCAATGTGGATCATCGACATTCTAATCAATTACTTAAAGGAGACTGATGAATATCTTTGTATGTAGTCATTTTTATTCACAAGGTGCGTATTTAGTTAGGATATAACCTAACAACTTAGGTGAAATGGGATTTAATTATGTTTCTACGTTTATTGCATTATATTTTGTTACGTTCGGTATTGGTGTATAAACGCAAGACTTTCAAGATGAAAATATCGATTTGCATATATTATTATTTTCCGTATATATAATTTTGCATAGTTTTCTTGGACGGAGGATTCTGAAAGATTCTTAGAAGGTTAAGTTAATCTTCATTTGGTTAAATGGGTAACTGATACAGGGTGGATTATGCAATGCTTATCATCGTTAATTAAGAATCTCGTTTTTTTTTTGAACTACTATTAAGAATCTCGTTACATAAGTAAAACATGGACAACTAGTCAAATGGTAAGCTTAAGACATTATCCTTATTTCCGAATATGAAAAATGAAGAGTAAAATTTGAGATTTATATCAACACCAAAACTATTGAATTGTATCAACTACAAGTGTACAATTAAGTTTGGTATGTTACAGTCGTTGAGCTACATGAGCATTGCTTAACGGCTAAAATTCATCACATACATGATACATATATAATTCTAAAGTTGCAAAAAAAAAAAAAAATCTATATGATTCTATTGAACTATAATTATTTATGGTTGTGAATTCATTTCTAAAAAAATAAATTTATTTAGTTACAAAAGTGAATTTGATCGGCTAGACCATGATTTTCTTGGCCCCTTCCAAAAAGGTAAAAAGCAGTAAGAAAACATTTTTGCAGTGTATAATATATGATGAGTTTGGCATTTTCTTCTTTTGCCTCTGGCCAGCAACATGTCAATAACACAAGCGGTCAATTTCTTCAACTCATTTTGTTGCAGGAAATATTAAAGCACAATTCCTGTTTGTGCAAATTAATTGATTAAAAGTGAATACGAGAATAGTACATCTCTCTTCTAAAATATTTCATGGCGAAAGATAGGGAGGTCAAGATTTTAGCTCAGGCAAAGTTCCGTGCGGCGACGGTGGTGGTGCCTATCGGCGATTCAGTCCTCATATTCACATGTGTCTCAAATTCTCACTCCTTGTCCGCATGTGTCTTTTAGTTAATAGTTTATTTCATATGGCTTCGAAAACTAATTGTAAAGGCCAAGTGTTAAGACTTTGTGTGGGCCCATTGAGTGACTAGATGCTAGAGCATTTATTTATATTTTATGACGTCAATGTAGCAAAACTTTATTAATATCATCACATTTACGAAAACCATGGACAACTAGTTAACTCTAAACACCAGTAATCCTTATTTCCCGAATAGGAAAAATGAAAGAGTAAAATTTGAGATTTCTGTTCGCACCAAAACTATTTGACTTTTTATCAACTACAAGTATACTATTAACTTTGGTATGTTCAAGTTGTTGAGTTATATGAACATTGGTTAACGCTAAATTTCATCACATACATACATTTACAGTAAAACCTCTATAAATTAATAATGTTGGGATTTTCAAATTTTATTAATTTATAGAGATATTAATTTACCAAAATTTTCCTTATTCAGATTTTTTTCCTATTTTTTCCATTTTTATTTATAAAATGAAAAAATATTTGATTTATCGCAGAGGTACATTATTTAAATATTAAAAATTTTACTTTTATATTATTTTATTATTTTGTTTGGTGTATATTCTTATGTTTTATAGAATTGTTATGTGGTTTTCGATATAATTTAACTAAATATTATTAAAATATATCAATATTTTTATTGTAAATATAAAACCAACAATATAATGTTATATTGTATTTATATAAAACTATAAATAGAAAAATTATTAATTTATGATTTTAATGGAACTATATATTTACATGGTATTTTAAAAAATATTATTATCTTATTATTTTATCTGTTTATGTCATATTTTACACCGATCTAAGTTGGGACCGGTGAAATTTATTATTTTATAGAGATTATTAATTTATCAAGTATTAATTTATAGAGTTTCTATATACATAAGATTGTGAATTCATTTCTGAAAAGGAATGTAGACGTGCATATGATCGGCTAGATCATGATTTTATTGGGCCCCAAAATAAAAAGTAAAAAAAAAAACAGTAAAAATAATAATTTAATTTGCAGTTTATATTGATGAGTTGGCATTTCTTCTTTTGCCACTGGCCAGCAACGTGTCAATAGCACAAGCGGTCAATTTCTTAAACTCTTTTCTTGTAAGAAATTAAAATCACAATTTCTAGTTTGTGTAAATTAAATTAACTGATTAAAAGTGACTACGAGAATAGTACAGCTCGATCCTCTATTTTTTTTCTCACTTAAGTTCTTTGAGAGAGAGGGAGACAGAGAGGACAGGCTTTTAGCTCAGGTAGAGCTTCGTGCGGCGGCGGTGGTGGTGCATATTCGACGATTCTATCTTTACACGTGTCCCAAATTCTCAATCCTTGTCTGCATGTCTTTTAGTTAATAGTAGTTTATTTGTTGTACTGTTATTGTTTATGGGCTTCGAAGACTAGTTGTAACGGCCGAGTGTTAGACTTTGTGTGGCCCATTAAGTAACTAAATGTTAGAGCAGCTGTTAATTATTTATGATGTCAACTAGGTGATTTTCCCGTGCTCATGCACGGGTATGAATATTCATAAAAGTAAAATTTTATAAGAATTGATTGGTATTTAGTTTTAGTTTTGAATCAATTAATATGTATAATTTATATAAATAAGTATTATATTATTCTAATTATACATATGACTTTGGATATATTATTGTCGGTGTAATTATTTTTCGGATCAAAAGTTGGTTTGGTTATCAATTTGGTATATTGGATAATATCTATTTTTTTGAATTCAGCTATCATATCTTTTATTCTAAATATAATAAAACTTTGATTAATTTCTTTATTTTCATTTCGGTTGGTTATTGTCTTTAGATATGTAACTATATTCTTAGATATGTAAATATATGATAGTTAAATTGTGTATAACTTAATATATATTTTGCTTAAATGAAATAAATAATCGATTGGTATTTAGTTTTAGTTTTTAATCAATTTATATGTATAATTTATATTAATAAATATTATATTATTCTAATTATACATATGAATTTGGATATATTATTACTGGTTTAATTTTTTTTTATCAATAGTCGGTTTGGTTATCAATTTGGTATATTAGATAATATTTATTTTTTGAATTCAGCTATAATATTTTTTATTCTAAATATAATAAAACTTTGATTAATTTTTTTATTTTCATTTCGGATGGCTATTGTCTTTATATATGTAAATAAATTCTTAGATATGTAAATATATTATAGTTAAATTATGTATAACATAATATATATATATATATATATATTGTGCTTAAAATGAAATAAATAATAAGCTGAAGTGTTTAATTCAAAATTACGTAAATGAATATAATGATAATATTTTGAAGTCGCATGCATATATATAAATTCTAAAAAAGAATTAAATTGTAATTGGTTAATATTTTCTTTTTCACTTTAATATGCTTTGTGTCAACCTCTAGTTTATATGTATAAAACTAAATAGATTATTAATATTATTATTATTATTATTATTATAAAATTATATGTTCTTATTGTAGTTAGTTGATTAATTTTAAATATAAATTAGATTAGCCGAGTCATTCATTTTGTGAGTATATTGAATATAATATATTTGTAAATTAAAATTAAAGAATAATTACTTTTTATTTTAGTTAAGTCAAATAAATTATATGTTGATTTCTAAAAAGTATTAGAAAATATATTTAAAGAATAATTACTTTTTATTTTAGTTAAGAATATTATTAAATTATATGTTGATTTCTAAAAAGTATTAGAAAATAAAGTGCAACTGATAAGTTTTTGGATGTTCATGAACATATATATTTTTATTATTTTGAAAATATATTTAAAATATATATTAATGGGGTATTGCTATTTTGTGAACTTTCCGTTTTAATAAAGTCATATTATATACATATATTTTCGTTTTTAAAATTTGTTTTAAAATTTTAGAAATATTTCCTTTTTATTGTATATGTTATTTGGAAAAGGGTAAAAAAAATTAAATAAAAAATAATAATCTTAAAATCTAACAAATCATTAAGGGTATCTATGTAATCAACTATCGTGAGAATTAACGTGAGCGCGACACGTAGGAAACTGACTTCTCAAATAATATTATAGAGATTAGACAAAACTATATTCATATCATCACATTTAATTTTTATCAGTATATAGTCATATGATTTTGAAGTATAGAAATGCATATATAGTAAAAGCGAACAAATCACGACGTCAACAACTTTCGGTGGTTACAATTCATTTACTTTCCCATGTGGTACAAGAATTAGGTGACTAGCGAAGTTAAGTAAATGGTAAAAAAAATGCTTAAAGCTTTTGGTTATACATAGAAAGATTACATATGGTGAAAAATAGGTAGATGGGTAGGTAAAAATAGTTAATGCATTTGATGGTGCATTTTGTATATATAAACACTATCATATCATCAAAATGATCATATACTAAACGCACAACAAAACTTATACTCACAATAAAAAAACAAATAGAGAATGGAACTTCATGGAGTCTCTTCTGGTGACCTTGATGTTAAATCTCCGGCTGAAAAGTTCTTTAGATCTCTCATCGACGACATAAACGTCCCTTTTGACAACATTGGTAAATAATGAACTCTTCCACATCCCATACATACTTTTTTTTTATCAGAGATCAAAACACCTAACTGATTATGATGTCTCATCGTATGTGGCAGAGGATAAGATGGAGATGAATTTGGAGGATAGAACATTGACGATGAGAATGAGTGGCTGTCTTATCTCGGAAATTTACAAGACGGTCAAAGCAACCATCACGGTCAGTCCTAAGGAAGATGGGGACGGTAGCCGCGTGGCCTGGAAGGTTGAGTTCGAGAAGATTGGTTATGACATGGAAGATCCACACTTGATCATCGACACTCTTGTCGACGTTCTTGTCAATTACTTAAAGGAGACCGATGGGAATCTTCTTCTATAAGCGTTTCTAAATCAAAAGGTTCGATTTTATGGAATGATGAATAATCTAATTAAGAAACTTAAAAAGTGTGGAACGTATATTTGTGTGTGTGTGACTACGTTTATTGCAGTATCTTTTATTACGTTTGGCACTTTAAGGTGTATAAGCTCGTATGACTTTCAAGTTGTAATAAATCTTCGATTTTCATATTATTGTTGGACCGATGACTATAACAAAATATTAGTAGCGATTATCATGCAAATCATCTCTTAATTAATAAAAAGCAGTGCATAAACATTAAAAACTCGGTTTGCAGTTTTGAATGATGTTGAAACCAAACTGAAATGGGAAACTATACATTTTATTCTCTTGCACGCACAAGGAGACTATCCAAGAATCAAGATTGTGATCCCATGAAGAACAATTTTTCAGGAACCGAACCGCACCGTTTGTTATCATCTCCTCTTGGTCAAAGACTAGCATTTTTATACCGCGGACTTTTCTTTTTGATTTTTAATCATTGGACTTAGGCTTATGGGTTCTAATTACAAAAATTAGCTGGCCCATTATTTTTATGTCTCTATTATTCGGATCTCATAGGCCTATTAGGATGGAACACATGCAAGTTATGTTTTTTTTTAAACGACGTGCCACGGTTATGGTGCAAATTAAGAGCCACAGTGTATCAGTGTATGAGTTGGCTAAACACATGCAAGTTATGGGTTGCACTTTGCATGCCTTTTCCCAAATAATTTCGATGATTTGATTAAACAAATACACAACTGTCTGTAAGAAATCACGACTGATGTACTACCATATAGATTCTTGTACTATAGTCCTATGCTCATATTTCTCAACCCCATATAATTGTTCTATGTATAGATAAATACCCATTATTGTTCTTGTTGATGTGAGTGTTTTTTTTTGTGAGAGTATGTCCTAATAAATTATGATAAAATGGAGAAGTTTATGAGAGATGATGGGAGAATATATGCAAACAATGTTTACCAAAAAAATATATGCAAACTAATTCGTAAGTACATGCATATACAAGTCTTTTTAAGCACATACTAGATTTCGACCCGCACAACCGTGCGGTTGTTTTAATACAAAAATATTTGAAATTATATAATAAAATTTATCAATAAATAAATATAATTTGATTATTTATACTATCCAATTTATAATCATTTTTATGTACCTTATAATATTATTAATTTAAAATTTATAAATTTGTATTTTTGTAATAATTTAATTATTATGTAAGATTACTAATTTATATATTTTTTTTTATTTCTAAATTTGAAATCTATGTAAAAATTAATTAAGTTGGACCTACATAATACATAAACAAAAATTTTGGGATATTGTTAAAAGTATTTTACATAATTTCAATTTTTTGTTTATAAATTAAAAATGAATTAAAATTTTAATTATATTTTATGATATTAAGATTTTAATCAAATAATTTTTGAAACTATATCTTGAAAAAGATTCTAAAAGATTTTGTTAGAATTTTCTTAAAACTATTTATTTGTATTTCAAACAAAAA